AATAGAAGAGAATCAAAGTATAGCGCTAAAAGAAAGTAATAAAATTGACTGAATATGCGATAAATTGAACACTGGACTTGTAGGATAGTTTAAAGGTGAAACATCTTTAAACTCATCTCCAACTACCTCGGCCTCCTAAAGTGCTGGGATCACAGGCATGACCCACTAGGCTCAGTCAACTTTTTATTTTAAGACTGAATGTGTCCTGAATGAACTTACATATGCTAATTTCATGATTTTTGGACTGGGTTATTGTTAAGAAAGAGTATTTTAGTTTATAACAAATAATAAAAAATGTTTCAGCCGAGCACGGTAACTCAGGCCTGTAATCCCAGCACTTTGCAGACTGAGGCGGGCGGATCACCTGAGGTCAGAAGTTTGAGACCAGCCTCACCAACATGGAGAAACACCATCTCTACTAAAAATACAAAATTAGCCAGGTGTGGTGGCGCATGCCTGTAATCCCAGCTACTCAGGAGGCTGAGGCAGGAGAATCGCTCGAACCCGGGAGGTAGAGGTTGCCAGTGTGGGCAACAAGAGCAAAACTCAATCTCAAAAAAAAAAGTTTCAAATTAATTTTAACATACAATAAAAATTCAATAAATATTGAATAAATGGATACCAGGCATTAATTGCAATAAGTGTATGAATGACATTTTATATTTGTAAAGCTGTTAGTAGGTTCTCAAAGAACATATGCTGTTCATGTTCATTATAAAACATTATTACTTATATTTGTAAAGTTGTTAGTAGGTTCTCAAACAATATTAGCTATTCATGTTCATTATAAAACATTATTATTTTCTGGCCCAGCACAGTGGCTCAAGCCTGTAATCCCAGCACTTTGGGAGGACGGGATGGGAGAATCACTTGAGATCAGGAGTTTGAGAACAGCCTGGTTAACATAGTAGGACCCCATCTCTATTTACAGACAAACAAACAAACAAAAGTATCAGTATTTTCCTGGTTCCAAAAAGGATTCTGAAATGGCAATGTAAGAAATGAGAATTTCAATTGAATTTTATACATTTGATCCATTTAACACACTATTAAATATTTTCCTAAATATTTACTAAATTCAGACAGATAAAATGTTATTTACTAGCTTTTAAAGATCTAACAGCCCTATGCATTAACTTCAAAGTACTAATTCAAACACAAATAAATTTGAACAAAGTATTGACTTTTACCATCATTTCTACTTGTAGGATCAGACGATTTTTGGCTGACAAGCTTCTTCTGTGGACTTCGCTTTGACAGTCCTTCGAAGCTTTTAAGAGGCCAGGAATTTGAGAAATTAACAGAATTATCTTGAGACTTCTTTGGAGATATAATAAGAGATGTATGCTTTGGACTAGTTCGAGGTGATGAGAGAGGATAGGATGGAAGGATGTAGGCTCCTGGACTTAGATTTTGACCGTTTGAGGAAGTACACTCTGTTTGACTACCAAATGTTTGCTGTGTCTTACTGCCAAAATTGAGGGTAGCATACACTGTAATAAAACAAAAGATAATATGTTATTTATGTATACACAGCTCTAAAAGTTAAAAGCTTTTTCGCTTTTTGCTTTTCCTATTCAGGTTTTCATTCCAATTTGCATTTATATTTTTGTATAGTATGAGGTAAGGGACTAATTTCATTTGTGTTATTCAAATATTCTGTATCTTCTAATTCAAAACTTCTTTATCCCATTAAAATGTTGTACTAACATTTATAATTAACTTTCTCCTTGTAATTTTATCAATTACATACATACATACATGTATATGTATACATATGTCAGAGAAGTCTTGTCTTTTTGGTGAATTTTCTTTTTCTCATTACGATGACCCTCTTTAGAACTAAAAATGTTTTTAGTTTTGGTGTGCATATTTTCCTTATCATCAACATGTTTCTATTTGCTCTTCTCTGAACATTTGCCTAGTGTATCTTTTCCATGCTTTACTTTCTCTCAACCTATTTTGATGTATTTTAGGTAATGCTCTTTAAAAGATCACCTCAATGAAAAACTGAAAAAATAAGATCTGATCACCTCTGTCATTTAAGTTGTAAGTTCTGCCAATTTATACTTAGGGAAACTATTCATACATTTGATTTTAATTCTACCATCTTATTTTGTGCTATTTATTTTTTTTTCTTTATTACTTCTTCCTTGTCTTTTATTGATCTTTTTATCCTTCAACTAATATAAAAAGTCTATTTGTAATCTTTTAGGGGTTCCTTTAAATTTTCCTTTAATGTTTTTAAAAAGGTTTTCCATGACAAAATACCTAGCTTATGTCTATTAATAAAGCAAACATTCTTCTGAAGACTTAAACAACTGTATATATTATATATCCGTTATTTTTAATTCATACCTGACAGTTAGAACCTCTACTTACACCAAAATCTTATCTGGGTAGAGAAATATAGGAGACTTAGTCACAGATTTACATATAGAATTAAAACTTTCAGTTTCCTCATTTCAATTACAGTGCTCTATTAACAGGTTCTGATGCTTTTATGACAATGTCTCATATATTCCTAGAGATTTAAAAATATTTCTTTTTTTTTTTTTGAGACAGTCTTGCTCTGTCACCCAGGCTGGAGTGCAGTGGTGCAATCTCAGCTCACTGCAAGCTCCGCCTCCCGGTTTCACACCATTCTCCTCCCTCAGCCTCCTGAGTAGCTGGGATTATAGGCGCCCGCCACCACGCCCAGCTAATTT